CGGACTTTTTCAGTTCTACGTATGACCTACATGACTCTGTTTTGGAAGATGAGGATCAAGCTCTCTGTCAAACCCCATCTCCCATACACACCCAAACCTCCATTCTTCCATCCTCTTGACACAATTACATTATAATTTTGATCAGCTCAATATCCTTGCTTTACACTATTAGGACTCAGTACAGACCGTTCACAGCTGTAGCAAGCTGTCTGCTAGGTTTTCTTTTTTTCTTCCCCACTTCGTTTTTCCAGGAGTTAATAATTGTCTTGGTGGTTCATAGCTTAGTTTTCTGTGCCCTTATAAACTATTCAACCCCAGACCTCCCCCTGATGGATAACTTTCTCACTGCTTTCTAACACATTGTCTATAAGATTTCATCTCCTTGAATAAATCTCTTCAGATCTCCTTCAACCTGGAGTAATGACATGCTAGTCTTGTCAGAGAGCTCAAGGGTCACTGGTGGGAAGCAACAAAGGGAGCATGTGGACCAGGAGCAGGGAGCAGTTCAATGTACTTTCCTGAGCAAAATATACTTAAAAAAATGGGAAAATTGTTTTCTTTACTTACAAACACACACACACACACACACACCCTGAAAGACCATAAAGAATGATTAAAAAGCCATCAAACTCATCGCCCGTCAAATACTATATAACAAAAAACAAAAATAACAGAATGGAGACATCATATAAATATGAACCTCGAGGGGGATGGGGTGTAGCTCGGTGGTAGAGTGTGTGCTCAGCATGCATGAGGTCCTGGCTTCCATCGCCAGTACCTCCATTAGAAAAAAAATAGTTAAAAAAGAAAAGAAAAAAATATTAACTTCAAATATTTACATATGTACAAACACCCTCTTTTAAAACTGTATTCTACAGGATAACCCGAGTTCGTGACAGAAAGTGCCTCTTCATGACTGTGATCCTGGTGATAAATGAGGGAGGAAATTAGAGTATGACCACACGAAATAAAATCCCTTAGGAAACAATAAGTCTAGGTGACAATCATTAATGGCTGCTGTCATCACGAAAAAAGAGAGACAACGGGACATCATGCACCTTGTGACAGAAGTACAGAACTCCACGTAACAAGTGTCCTCGCACAAAGCTGAACCTCAGTGAGATCGAGCTTTTCGGGGAGGATCAAATCACTTAGCTAAGCAAATACACAGGACGGAGAAACCAGTCTAACACCACAAAGGAGAATGAAATCAGCCAAACAGAAAATAGAGAAACCCCTCAACAATTGCAAGGAAAACAAGAGAGAAACGGGAAAATGACGGATTAGAAACCATTTGAGAGATGTTACTTGTGACATCTGAACCTTGTCTGGGTCCTGATTTCAACCCCAAAACTACTTAAAAATATATGTTTTTGTGACAATCAGGGAATTATTTCATAACCCTTAACAAAAGGAATCTTCCAATTGTATATAAAAGAGATCTTGTCATTTCACGAATCAAAGGTTAAGCGGTGTAGGATTTTCTTCAAAATGATCCAGGAGGTGGGGGAGCGGAGGAGGTGGAGATAAAAGATGAAACAACAGTGATTCCGAGTTTATAATTTCTGGAGCTGGGTGACGG